ACTCAAGTCGAGAACCTCCAGCCTCTTTAATCTACCCAACGGTTCCAGCCCTGCAATAAGAATAAATACATCCATCCATCTCGCTCTCAAGTCTCAACGGCTGGATATTAATTATAGGCTTGTGGATTTTAGAGTCATCATCATCAGATTTCAATAGCTAGCTAGCTGGCTCAATATGTTGTCTTCTCTCTGTGTCCTCAGCTTTGTTTTTATTACAACTTACAATTCTAAGCCTATACAAAAATTAAACAACGAGCCTAAACCATATATAATGTGTAACGTGAATATCGCCCAAATAAAGTTCCAAATCAACGMGCGGCAACCTTTGATAGACTCTTTCCCCCAGCTATAATGTGTTGACAGTCATGGTTTAATCACCTTTCTTCCCTCAATTTATAAAACATTAAAATCAGGAATGCTTTCTTTTTTTTTTTTTCCATGCATATATATTTAAAGTAGATGAATTGAAAGACGACTATAAAACAACAAATTGCAGTTTTCTTAATTAATTAGCAATACCTTCATTGTCTGCCAAACCTCCAAACCGGTTTTCAGATAAGTCAAAATGTTGAAGCTCTTGAAAGGGAAGAAACAAGCTGGCATTTAGAAGCCAATTTGGTGCATCATATGATGACCGACTTCTGGTATAACTGAGAGAGAGTTGGATGATTCTGCCAGTGGTGATATTACATTGAACTCTCTCCCAGGAACAACAATCATCATTATCATCGTCCTCAACCCAAGTTGGGAGACGGCCGTAAGAAGTATCATCATCATCAGTCCATGGAACAGAAGCCTTGAAAGCTAAAAGAGCCATCTTCTCCTSCTCCAAACATGCCATTGATTCATGATGATGATGATGAAACTGATGAAGCAGCAGCACAACAATAACCCATGCCCGTAATGTTCTCATCCTCAAAGCCCACTCCATGATTTTGAGAAATGGATGGATTTCCCCTGTTCTCATCCCCAGCATAACATGCAGGATGATTTAATTGAAGAATAGGGTTAGCAATTTATAGGTCTGGGTTTAGCGTATGGTACAAGGGACAAAATCTTCATCATGGTTAGAGGAGGCACTTTTATAAGTAATATTTTATAATGAATAAATAATACATATATACAAAACTATGAAAGCTTGTATTTTCCCTAATAAAGAATACATATTTACAGGTGAGACCCACAATTGAAGACTTAGATCCTRTCTTTTTCCAAAGTCTTAATTGGCACCAACCATGAAGGCTTGATTTTTCCACACGTCATTTTTCCACTCTACCCCATCTCTGTCCCATCCTAGTGTCAAGCAAGTTCAAGGCAAGGTGGGACCCACTCTTCGTTAGGGATGAGGAGTTGTGTCAGGCGAATTTAGGGCAAGGCCCCCACTCCTCACCAAGGATGGGAAATCTTCGAATTTTCCTTACCCTGTCCCTAGTGTAAGGAAAAGGCAAGGCACCCGCTCCTCGTCAACCCAATATTTATTTTGATGACAAAAATGATCAAAATGATATATTGAGTATCAACCACATGGTAAATTTTTAAAAGTATATCAAATTGTCTTTAATTTTCAAAAGAAAGTAATTTTATGAAAATTTTGGAAAATTTATTACATTTGTGTAATTTTGAAAACTTGCTCAATTTATTTTTAAATTGTTATTAAATAATTTATTTTCTTTTTAAATGTTTACTTATAGAATTACACTAATTTATCTTATATTTGCTAATATAAAGTAATTAATAATTTACTTTTCCATGATTATACTAATTTATCTTATTAATTTGTGTAATTATTGGTTCAAATTATAGTTTTCCCTTTTCCATACTCATTTATCTTTAAAAATTTTCAATAATTAACAATGAAAATTATATAATTTTTCAATAGCTTGCTAAAGTCTATCAGATGTAATAAATTTTTCTAAAATTTTAAAAATATTCTAATAATTTACAATAATCATTTAATAGATTGTAAATAAACTTTCAAAACTTTTGTCAAAGTGCAATATTATATCTTTTAATTTCTAAAATGTTATTTTGTGAAAATGTAGTTTTATGAAAATTTTTGTAAATATTATGGAGATTTATTGAAAATTAGTTTAAATTTTTATGAAATAGTTTACTAACAAAATTACAATAATTTATCTTTTATTTTCCAATATAAATTAATTAATAATTTCAYTTTCCAACATTATAATATTTTATTTCCTGCATTCAATTATTAACTATAATAACAATAATAACTCAAATTTTATTTTTTTGATAATTAATAAATATAATTAACAGTTTTATAGAAATTAATTAATGGGTTTTCAATTTTTATAAAATATTTTTAATTAGCATAAGTATAACAACATTTACCCAAAATACTTTAAAAAGTTATGATGAGTTAATTAATGATAGTATTTATTAATTTTTGGTAATTTACTAACTATATTTATTAACTTTTGATAATAACATTATTTAACATTCATTTAATGTGGATTTAATTTTAATTATATTTAGCTATTTATTAATTAATATAAATATTTAAAGGGGAAATTACTTTAAACCCCCCATATAGAAGGAAAACCTCCTAACACCTTAATGTTGAAAATCCAACTGCTGAAAACCAATAATAAAAACAAAATACCACTGCAACCCCCTCTAATCGCAAACATGATATACACCACCCATCTCTCAATTCTTTGACCATAAATCCCATATGAAACTCGGTGATACAAATGCCCTTTATGCAAAACTCTCGATACATGATTCAGGTGCCCACAACTGAGTCTTTTGTTTTTTGCTTGTAAATTATTTTTTTTTTATAAAACAAGTTGTAAATTAAAGGTGCACGTATGAACCCTGTAAATTTCTGTTTAAGCTTTCCGGTTGCAAAAAGAAAATCAAGCATTTATTCAATGTTTAGATGAARTGACCCAATAAATGGGGTTACAACTCCTCGACCATCTAAAAGAATTTTTTTTCCAGCAAAAAGAGAGAGGAATTAGATATCRTAGCTCAAATCATGTAATACATTTTGGTTGCCACCATTGGCTATCTACTAATATAGGGGAATCTTCACGGAAGGCCGATGGTGGGAAATGGTACTTTTTTAGAACCACTGTTTCCCACCATCAACCTAGGCCATCAGGCCAATGGGTGATCGAAAGGTTTCCAGATGCTTGGTGGGTGAGTGGTAGTAGGAGAGAGTGGATTTAAGGGCCATCGGACCCCTTTGCACCCATTGGAGTGGCCTCCAGGTGATTCTGCCATTTTCGAGAAGCGGTCCCAGAGGGGGGAGGGGGAGGTGCCCCAGCTGAATAGGGAAGGTCGATGGTGGAAAACAATGCTTTTTCAGAAACACCATTTCCCACCATTGGCCCGATCCCGGGTCGATGGGCGATGGGAAGGTTTGGGATGCTCGGTGGGTGGCAATAGGATAGAGTGGGTTTGGTGGTCATCAAACCCCTCAGCACTTGTCGGAGCGACCTACGAGTGATTCTACCATTTTCTAGAAGCGGTCCCAGAGGGGGGGGGTACGGGGGTAAGCAAGTGGTGGAACCACTTCCATGTGATGGGGAGAGGGCTCCTGAATGTCCCCCAAGGAGGTAGAGATGCCCCGAGCCAACGAGGTAGATCGATGGTAGGAAACTGTGCTTTTTCAAAACCATCGTTTCTCTCTGTTGGCTTGGGTTGTCAGGCTGATGGCCGATTGGAAGCTGTCGAGATTATCAGTGGGTGAGTGCTAGTAGGATAGAGTGGGTTTGGTGGCCATCGAACCCCTCCGTACCTGCCATAGCGGCCTCCGGGTGATTCTGCCATTTTGGAGAAGTAGTCCCAAAGGGGGGCATGGGGGTAAATGGGAAGTGGAACCACCTCCACAAGGCGGGGAGAGGTTTCCTTGACGTTCCCAAAGGAGGCAGAGATGCCTTGGGCCAACGGGAAAGGCCAACAATTGAAAATGATGCTTTTGCAAAACCATTGTTTCCCACCATTGGCCTAGGTTATTGGGCTGATGGGTGATCAAAAAGTGTCTAGATGCTCAGTGGATGAGTGGCAATAGGAGAGAGTGGGTTTGGTGGCCATCGAATCCCTCCGCACCCGTAGACAAGCGGTGGAACCACTTCCATGTGGTGGGGCGAGGACTCCAAAACGTCCCCAAAGGAGGCATAGATGCCCTAAGCCAACAAGGAAGATCAATGGTGGGAAAAGATGCATTTTCAAAACCACCGTTTCCCATCATCGACCTAGGCCGTTGGACGATCAAAACGTATTTGGATGCTTAGTCTATGAGTGGTAGTAGGAAGGAGTGGATTTGGTGGCCATTGAACCCCTCCGCACCGTTGGAGCAGCCTTGGGTGATTTTGCCATTTCTGAGAAGTGGTCCTGTAGGGGCGCGGGGATAGACGGGCGGTGGAATCACCTCCACATGGTGGGGAGAGGGATCCTAGACATCCCCAGAGGAGGCATAGATTCCCAGGCAAACAAGGAAGGTCGACGGTGGGAAACAATGCTTTTTCAAAACCATCATTTCCCACCATTTGCCCGGGCCATTGGGCTAATGGGCGATCGGGAAGTGTCCAGATGCTCGATGAGTGAGTGGCAATATGAGGGAGTGAGTTTGGTGGCCATCTAACCCCTCTACACCCACTTAAGTGACCATAGTTTGATTCTAACATTTTCGAGAAATGGTCCTGAAGGGAGGGCGGCGGTAGATGGGCAGTGGAACCACCTCCCTATTGAATTCAAGGTCTTAAATTCTGATCAGATATTAGATCGGATTCTAATGCATAATTTTACTAATCAAATCGAATTCATATTTTGATGAACCTGATCTGAATTCAATCCAATTACATCCCTAATTTTGAATCGATGTCATGCACGTACAAATTTAAACTCCGCAACCCATGAACTAGCATATAAAACATGTAATATATATTAGTAGATGGCAGATGGTGGCAGCCAAAATGTTCTTTTTAGATGGATTGGGGAATTATAACCAGTGTTCAAAAACACCAATTATTGGGTTACTTCATCTAAGCATTGAATAAATGCTGGATTTTCTTTTGGCAATAGGAAAGCTTAAACAGAAATTTACTGGTTCATACGTGCATCTTTAATTTACGAGTTGTTCTAAAGAAATAATTTATAAGCAAAAAAAAAAAAGTAAGTTGTGGGCCTCTGAATTTTGTATTTAGAGCATGGTTTTCAAAACCAGATCAGACCAAACGGTCGGACAGGAAAAACCAGGAACTGGTCACCTGTTTGGTTCCGTTTTCCTCCAAAACTGTTTTTTCCCCAAAACAGTTGATTGTGGTCAGCAAACCGCTGAACCAGCCAGTTAACCATTCAAACGGTTCGAACGGTTTTGACTGTTTTCCAATTTTTAAATTTTATACTTTTTTGTTAGAACGGGCTGGCCATTTGGGTTGTATGGTAAACCACTCGAACTGATAATCGGACCCCTAACCGGTTCAATCACTGGTTTGCTTTTAAAAACCATGATTCAGAGTTTTTCATAACCAGTGTTCAGATCACTGGGTTTTGTATGGGCATTATGGTCAAAGAATTAGGAGATGGCTGACATATCATGTCTTGGGAGTAGATGGAGGTTGCAATGGTATTTTGGTTTTAGTCCTAGGTTTTAGTGGTTGGATATTCTACATATAGGTGCTAGGATGTTTTCTTTTTGGGAAGGGGGTTCAAAGTCATTTCCCCTCTTTTAAATGAGAGAGAGTAGATATAGATTGGGGGGAGGTTTTAGGAATTGATTGGGGAGTGGGGTAACAAGAAAGGTTTCTAATGGCCGAGAGGAAATATTTTAGGAGAGAGATTCTAGGAATATTTTTTAGGTAGTTAGGTTGGGAATGGTGATATGGCTTAATGAGAGTGGTGGGAAGGGGAGAAGAGAGAAAGGAGAAGGTGGGGGTAATGGAGCACGGATAAACATGTTGACATGGAACATTTTGTTATATAGTTTTTTTATAAATTAATATATACACAACCATTAA